TAAACGAAATGCCATCTAAAATAATAAGAAAAGACCCGCAGTTTAGAAAACGATACCATACTGGTTAATGATATTTCATATCAGAAATTTATATAATAAAACAAAATATCACCCACCATTTCCTAAGGTATATTAATGAAGTACATACAGTTCTAATAAATATGAATATTATGACTAACACAAAATGAAAACTTTTTCTAATTAATGATAAGGAAACAAATATAATTGTATTTACATGTCTCATAAATTTAAATATTTATGTTCTATGGAAAAGTTTTATGGACGGAACATTCCAGTTCTGTACTAAGTTTTGTACTGATGGTTTTCAAATGGATATATATGTCTCTGGTATATGTATTCCCCAATAAACGTACATCGACTTATGAACATTTATTTAAAATTTACGTGATGGCGTTTGACGAAGGATTTGTAATTAACCCGAATATGTTCGTAATTGATTTTAAAATTGAATACACGAAGCGGTTCGCAGTATATGGCCAAACCAGTATTATTTGAGGTTGTATTCATCTTGGCCAAGCGTGATGAAAATTACAAAATTTGGGTTCATCTAAATTTTATATTGAAGGAAACACAGATAGGAAATTTTAAATTATTTTTATCTCCCGTTCCTTGAACCTGATGAAGTCGAAGATTCGTTTTTTTGATTTATAGCAGATTTGCCATCTAATAATAAAATAGTAAAATTTTGTGATTATTTAACAGAATCTTATATGGGTATCGAACTCAGAAGTTATAACAAAATAATGTATGTGAATCTTCCATTCAAAATTTAACGCATATTTTTATCATCATCACCATCACTATATAAATTTATAGATGCCATACAGGATATACAAGGACACATATATAAAATTAGAAGTGCAGAAGAAGCGGTAATACAAAAGAAAATAAAGGACAACGCAAAATACTAATTTATAAACGAACAACGACAAATGAAAGAAAGTGACGAATTTCAAGATATGAATTTTGAAAAGGTGTTTAAAATAACGACCTATTGTATTATTTTTATTTTTAAACTAAATTTTTATGGATTATAAGATCTCTATAACAATCTTTAAAATAATTTTTAATAATAATAATATTTGCCGCAGTTTAAATCTCCCATAATAAATAGTCTAAAAAGAATAAACGATCATTGTTATATGTCAAATTTAGTCTAGTTTAAGATAGTTTTATCGGTTTGTCAAAACCAATAAACTACCCCCACACAGTTCAAAATTAATAAAAATTTAATTGTGTCATTGATCAAAATGACTAAATTTTTATATTTTAATACAAGATAAAATTAGGAAGTTCTGATTATTTTTATAATCACAAAATTATATTAAATAGTTGTAGAAAACAAATTCAAGTAATTATTGAAAACTTCAATATTTTTTATTCTTTACTTTTGAAAAATTATATTATAATCTCAAACTTAAATATTATTATTATTATTTATAATGTTAATTTACAAACTCAAAATCAAAATGGTGTATTATAAAACGTTTCGTAGTAATTTGGAATTATATTGGATGTTAGTAAGCTTTGTATATCTTTCTTCTTGTTTTCAGCTATTGGAATTTTCGAGTTGTATGCGAGTTTTGTTTTAATACTACCAATATCCTTTGCTCCGGAACGTCTTGTTGCTGTTTTTTTCATTTGAACTTTTTCCCAGGTTATATTTTGTAGGAATTCTTGTAGAAACAAACTTCACTGCCCTTCACGAATTTTATAATTTTTATGTTTGTTATTTTTATTTGCTCTATACCTTAACGACAAGTGGTTTTCTTGTTTTTTAAGAATTCCTTATTATAGTCACTAATTGATCGGGCACGTATATAGGTCCTAATTTTTTGCTTCTTTTCATAGATTTTTCAATAATACTATGTACAGTATCGCCTTCGTTTTGTGTGTGACCTCGAATAATAAGGTATTTACTATTTATGCGTAATGGAATTTATTTGATATTTTTCATGGCATGTGCAAACCTGAAACAAATAATATAAGTACATTTTAATAGATTCGGTAAATTATATTGGAATTCTAGCCCGTAAATAAATTAATAAGTCCTAAGAATATATCACAAAATGATTAAATTTTTTCTACCTATTCTTTTGTTGACCACAACAGTTATCCGAGTAAAACATGATGTCACTTCCAGGACGAGAATTCGCAATTTCTTCGATGAACATTAGAAGACATGAACCTATTTCAATAGCACCTCTTTGTCCTACTCCTTCATGCCAGAATTAACAGATGGTATGATCCTTGATTATTTCTGATATCTACAATAAAAATTAAGCAGTCATAAAAATAGTTTTTAAGAGTTAAAATAACTATTTACTTACCGTAAAATTAAAACAATTCAATCTTGATTTATAGAAAAAGCAGAACTCTGCCCAGTAGGTACTGGCATAACTGCTTGTAAAACAAAGGTAGTTAAGACAATGTTAGATCCCATTTCTTTAGCCTTTTCTTTATCATTAGCCTTCTCCGTTCAGCTCAAGTTTTTTTCATCTTGGTGTAGTTGATAGTCGTTTTCCAACTTTGCTTTTTCTTCTGTCGTGGCACTGCGAATCGTTCTTTCCGTTATTCCGAAAGTATTAATCATGTAGGTTTTACATACCCGAATTCGATTTCCTTCAAAAAGCAAATAAAATTCACAGTTCTGCCTTCTGGGAGTTTCTGAAGTAAATATACGACGATATTTGAGTTGGAGGGGTTCAATACATGAAGCTAAGTAATCCCTTTGTCGCTGTAATGACGCCAAACTCCAATATTTATTAAAGAGTTCAATCCTGCATTCGTCAGATACTTTTGATGAGCACTTTAGAATACATCAGTCAGAGCAATTTGGCCCCATAACCCTTTCGTTGACAGTTTTTCCTGTTCTAGAAGTGTAGCTCTTACCAGAATTCTTCAATATTTTGGCTTTTGTTTTTTCCATTGCTCTGGGTTTCTTGATCTCTTTTTTCCTTTTTTGATAGGTGAAACCGTTATCGGGAGATCGATTGTTTGAAGATCGGTCAACTGGTCAGTGTTTTCATTTTCCGAAGATGTTTCACTAACTGATGGAATATAGTTGTCACTGTCATCCCCAGAAAGATTTTCCTCATTTTCTGAATCATCAATTATTACTTTATAATTGGTTTGTTTTGTTAATCTACGAAGCTTAATCTTGATTGGTGATTCATTTTGTTCGGTGATACAACACGGTGTTACAGATGATGATGAACTGGACTGCAAATATTGAGCGTCAGTCAAAATCTCGGGAGAATCAGCTAAATAAGCATAAAGCAACAGGCAGTAAGCATAAGCATAAAGAACAAAAAAAAAAATAATAAATAAAAATGGTTATTGGTTAATCGGGAATGGCTATAGTCATAATCAGGTCTGTTGATTAATATAATATATTAATATAAAAGTTTAGTGGTCCAATGTAACACTTTTGAAAGTAGAAACAAAATTATATCTAATGCTTTTTAATAGGTGGGTACTTGGTGGTTTTTCTAATTTTTATATAAGTATTTCAGGTATACAAATATAACAGAAACAAGTGGGTTTTTTATTCAAGAACATTTTTAAAATTATTTTATTATTATTATTTTTTTATTTTCTATTTAAATTATGATTAAAAATTAAAAATTAGTATTATTTTTATTACTTTGCATTTTTTGAAAATGTTATGTTTAAAAAATAAAATATAAGTGCATGCATATTTATTACTTTTTAACACGTTCACTGCCAGTGTCAACACGTAGTTGACACACGTACATTCGCCGGTGGCCGCTGTCAATACGTTGTTGACACCAAGACTATCCATTTTTAATATATTGTCACAGGGTCGGCTTTTATCGCATGTTATTTATTTATTTATTAATAGATTCGATAGCCCGTGTAGAATTGAATGGTATAGTTGGATTCATTTTTCGAATTATTTATAGAATATTTTTCCTAATTATTATTTTCGTCGATATTATTTATTATCTTAATATATAATACACATATACCAAATTATTATTGTTGAAATATTACACAGTTTTATCTTTTATGTTTGACAGTCATTCTTCAACGTGCGTACATTGTCGTAGTCAGTCGTAGTCACTAGAATTGATATTATTTTGTGTGTGTTTTTTTAAGTACATTTAAAATTGTTCATTTTAATCCTACATAGTGATAGTATAATGGCTTCTATTCTCACTGATGAAGAAATACTCATTATGATTAATAATGGAGATTTTCTATTGTCAGACGAAGATTTTGGTCTTAATTCTGGGAGTGATAGTTTAGGCGAGGGTGATTCTGCAGATGACGATTGCGATCAAAATAATATAGTTGAACAAAATATTGCCAATCAATCGCCTGCATCGCTTACTGAAACAGATTTAGCTTCACCACAAATTAGCCGTGAAAACAATTATAACTGGTCTACTTTTCGTCCTCAAGTTATAGATATTCCTTTTTCTGAAACACCAGGACTTAAAATTTTTCCTAAAGGTAACGACCCAATTGATTATTTTAATTTATTTGTTACAAACACATTTTGGGAGTTTTTAGTTGAAGAGGCAAATTCATATGCAGTTGAAGTCTTTTTGAACAGCGATCGGTCTAATTCTAGTATTTCAACTTGGAAAAATACAGACGTTGTTGAAATGAAAAAATTTATTGCTCTTTTATTTCACACTGGTACTATTCGCGTAAATAGATTAGAAGATTATTGGAAAACCAATGAGCTTTTCAATTTTCATATTTTTCGAAGTACTATGAGTCGTAACCGATTTATGCTATTGCTCAAAGTCCTACATTTTTGCAAAAATCCGGGACAAAATGATAATCCTACAAGTCGCTTACATAAAATCGACAAAATGACAAATTATTTCAATAAAACAATGGAAGAACTTTACCAACCATCTAAAAATTTATCGATCGACGAATCTATGGTTTTATTTAGAGGAAGACTTATGTTTCGTCAGTATACAAAAAATAAGAGACACAAATACGGGATTAAGTTGTATATGATGACTGAGTCGTGGGGATTGGTTCATAGAGTTCTAATTTATTCAGGAGAGGGTACTGGTACATCAGAAGAGTTAATTCATACCGAATACGTTGTAGAGAAACTAATGGAAGGTTGTTATTACAAAGGCCATTCAATCTATATGTCAACTATTATAACAGTGTCAAGTTAGCACATTATTTATTAGAAAAACAAACATACTGTACGGGTACTTTACGAGCCAACAGAAAAAATAATCCTAAAGCTATAAATGATAAAAAATTGAAGAAAGGTGAAACAATTTGTCAATATACAGAAAAGGGAGTTGGTGTGGTAAAATGGAAAGACAGACGAGCTGTGATTGCAATATCTTCAGAACATTCACACGATTTGGTAAATATAACTAATAGAAGAGAAATAATTAAATCGAAACCTCTTTCCATAATAAAGTATAATGAATATATGTCGGGCATTGACAGACAGGATCAAATGCTTTCCTATTATCCTTGCGAAAGGAAAACGTTGCGGTGGTATAAGAAACTAGGAATACACTTTATACAAATCCTACTACTTAATTCGTACTTATTGTATAATAAAAATGTAAAAAAAATTTCATTTTACGACTATCGGTTAAAAATTATTTCGACTATATTAAATTCTGGGGAAAATAATATTACTAAAAGACAACCAACAAATAATAATGCATTACATTTTTCAAAAAAAGTACCTAAAAATAAAAATAACAAAATCATGTATAAGAGATGTAAACTATGCAGTTCAAAAGGAGTACGAAAAATGACGTCGTTTTATTGTTCAATGTGTGAAGACGAGCCAGGATTTTGTCTAGACTGTTTCGAAGAATTTCACAGAAGTATATAAATTAAAAATTATGTTTATTGTTTTATTTATATTTATACTTATTTGTAAGTTAAAAACTACAGTTTAATTCAATAAGTAGTATTTTTTTATTTTATTTCATTTTATTAAATATTAAAAATAAATCTATACAAAAAAAAAGTTGAATTTTCATTTTACATTTTTGTGAAACCGCTGTGTTGTAGTACAAATTGAAAAAAAACCAAAGTACTTATAAACTCAATAGTATCGTAATATTATTGAAAAACATAATTGTAAGTGTGATGTATGATAATTTATCAAGTATTTATTTAGATATAATTGTGGATTCTTATTTATTATTAGCATGAATCGGGCGCGCAACGCCGGTGTCAACACGTAGTTAACAGTATCAGCCGAGACTGGTTTTTGGTTACGGCTACGCGCGCGCTAATGCATAATTCGGTCGGCAGTGAACGTGTTAAGTGCATTAAGTTCCGAGCCCTAGTCATACTAATATTATTACAACATAATTTCAATAAATTAATTAATTTTTACATGATTACTTATAATAATCATCGTTCATGTATATCAGTTAATTGACTTTTGCCTCTCCCGGTTATAATAGCATACATTTGCATAGCATTTAAATAGATTTTATATAAAACCAAAAAGTCAATCAAATGTGCGAACCCTAGGTATAAGCAATTTAGTTTGTTTTAATCTATAAATATGAGGTAGCTACTTACTCTTAGGCGAATTTTCAATATTCCATACAGAATTTTTCTCAATTTCAGCCTTTTGAGTAGCTAGTTCTATTAATAGCTTTGTTCGTTTCATAATAATACTTTAAAAACATAGTTTACAAAATAAAAATAAAATCGCAGATTGGAAAAAAGTAAAGAAATATTGAGTGAACAATGACATAAAGAACAATTACACTAAAAAAAAAAAACAAAATGTTGAAGTCAATAATGACGGAATATATACTTACGGCGTTGTTCCACTAGATAATGACGAAAAATTAACCCTTTCAGTCCCAGACTTTTTTATACATAAATTTTAATTTTAATTTTTTGCTTTTTTATATAAAAATACCTCATTTAAAATAAAATAAAAATTTTTTTTTTTCAAAATTAAAAAAGTTACGGAAGTGTCCACTTTAAGAGACACTGGTTTCAAATGGTTGTAGAATTATAATAATTGCGATACTAATAATAAAATGAAAACCTTTTTATTTTTAACATTATATAATATTTATAAAATAATAATAATCAATCTTTAACTTTTATCATCATCAATAACAATATTAACAATTTTAAAAATATAAAATAAAATAAAATAATACAAACCATAACAACATTTTTGTAATAAAAAAAATGTAAAAATTAATAAAATAAATTTTTTCTACTAAATAAAACACTAGGGATTTAAAAATTTTAAATTTTAAAAATATACATTTGATAATTATCATTTTTGGTGGTAATTCAAAAAACACATGAGTTTCTCTATCTTTTTTCCCACAATTTCGGTTCTTACATCTTGATGGAAAGTTTTTTTCGTCAAATCCAGGCAAATGGTCAACTTAGTTAAAGCGAACGTCATCTAATTGACGAGTAGAGTCAATTTTTGCCGCTTTAGAAGTTGGTTCGTCTTCATTTCCATTACTTCGTGGTCGTCCTTTTCTTTTGGGTGTTAAAGGTTTGCCTACTCGAATTAAATTTTCACCTAGATCCATTCTAAAGTGTAAGAGGTCTTTTATATTTTTTTTCGGTATTTTAAAATGTTCTGCATCCTTTAAATATTGTATCCAACAGTTAGTTACAATCAAATCCACAGCGTGGACAATCATCCTCATAGTCCATTTTTTAGATCGAATAAATGTCCTATAATAACTAATCAATTGATCGACTTTATCAACACCACCCATAGATTGATTGTATAATGCTACAACTTCAAGTCTTTCGACATCAACATATAATTTTGTCTTTTTATCCCAACTTTGAATAGTTTCCGAATTTCCCGATCCAACAAAGTTTGAAACTAACCTCACTGCTCGCGTGTCAAACCATTTGACTAAACACAAATTGCAATTTTCCATATTCGTAGAAATTTCATACGCAGTTCCTCTACCCATTCGGGACATTTGTTTATCAGACAAAAGCGGAGGTTTTACAAAACGATTTGTTCTGACAGTCCCAATAGCATAAATTTGTTTTTGGCTTAATTGTTCCATTCCATCAAATTAAATGTCGAAAAAAGTTATCAAAAAATAAAAAATGTTTATTTTTTTCAACATATTTTGTCAAATGTAAGACTACACTTGCGCCTAATCCAAATTTTTTAAGTATATTTTGATCTATCTCTGTCGTATTACCTTGATACAAAAGAATATTATAAACCATGCCACTAGAATCACAAAAAAGAAATGCTTTTATGCCCCAAGGACATGGTTTTCCTTTGACATATTGTTTCATTTGTAAATGACCTTTAAACGGTATCATCTGTTCGTCAACACTCAAATTTCTTTCTTTAGATATTGACTTAATTTTATTGTTAATCGCGTCATAAATAGGCCGAACTTTAATATATTTGTCTGTGTTATCGCGAGGAATATTACTATTGTCAATTAAATGGAAATTTGATCGTAATGAAAAAAATCGGTTTCGCGCCATACTATCCCTAACGAGTTTGACTTGGTAAAAATCTTCCCAGTACATTCGAATTCGTGGGTATTTGAGACAACCCATTAAAATATGTATACCGATAAATCTTTTTATTTCAGATGAATCAGTTGGTTTAAATCTACTTTGCTGTTTCTGAACAGAATATAATTAGTAAAATAAGCCATATTTGAAAAATTTGTGTCATCGAGATATTCTGTGAAATAATCTAATACATTAGGCATTTCAGAAGGATATATCATGTCTTCTAAATCATCTAAACAAATGTTAGGTTGTTTAAAAGGGCTTGCCTGCCATTTAATTTGATTTTTATTAGATATGACAAATGGTTCGGGTGTAATATTAGCAATATTAGGTTCTGGTGATGGTAAATTAAATTCCAATTGTTCCGGCAAAACGGAATCATGATCTAAAATAAAATCTTCCCACTCATCAAACTGTCCAAGTAAATTATTTAGTTCTTCATTCTGAAAGTTTTCAATTATTTCTTCGTCTGACTCATCAAGATCAGATACGGTTCCGTCACCAAGTAAATTTAAAATGTCGTTTTCACTCAAACCATTTGCCATTATAAAAAATATTTATATAATTTTTAGTATTATATTATTGGTATATATGATATTATTATATTATAACAATACTTTACAAATAAATAAATTTATATTTTATTACCTATTATAATAAATAATTATAATTACTACCAAATTACGACATACCACATACGTGTTGTCCAGCCGTTCGGCGCATAAATACGTATGTATAATATAATATTGTGATATGCGATACGTAATACTCGTAATAGTATTGGTATCACACTATCAAGGCAGACCATTGGGACCCGGTGTCTCTTTAAAGAGACATGCAGTTAAACAGCTGTTTTTCACTATTCAATCGGAATTTAGCGTTGGAAACGGTTTAAATATTATTTGTCATATGTAGGCCATGGAAGAAAAAATAATACGATGTGTAAATTCTTATAAACGACAAATTATACATGATAAAGATATTCCAAATACCGATTTTTTTTATAGCCAATTCTTGTCAAATATAATCGATTATAAAAACGTGTATACTGATTGTGTACCACCAAAATCGATATTTTTATTCGATTCTACGTAATATTATTTACAAGAATACACTGTTATCACATTTATTTAAAATATAACGCTTTAGTTATGAATTACGTAAGCCGATGTCTCTTAAAGTAGACAAGGGGACTGAAAGGGTTAAGTGTTTTTAGATGAAAAATGACGCAACTCTCACTTATGCTGTTGTGGCACCAGGATTAAACAAAAATGTGTCACAGATAACAATTACGTCGTTGTAGAAATAAAAACAATGCACCGCGGTCGGTAGGCGAAACACAACTGATAACAACGTCATTGTTCCATTGGACATATCTAGCGAAACCACAGCCTGGTTTCGCTAGTCTCCAGCAGTGGTTCTCGGGCCTGGTACTGCCAGGGCGGAACGTCTGCTAACGACACCGGTCGCCAGCGTGGCGTGCGGGGTTGGGCTCCGTACGCGTCCGCTATAGGCCGGAGCGTTTGCCCGATCCGGGGGCGACGGAAACGTCGTTCCACGGGCGTGAAGGCCTAGGTTTGCCCGTGGCGCGGAGTCACTCACCGGGTGGACGGCTTGCCGTCCCCCGGGGAGAGGCTACCGCGCCGGTGTC